CTCAGCTTCAAAAGACTTTTGGTTCAGGGACTCAGTGGGCCTGCCTACATAAGACATTTACTCTGGACCTGCCTAATTACCTATCTAGTAAATGTCTCAGTGGGCACTTCTACACAAGATCCTTCATGTGCAGAAGATTAATTCTACTGCACATTAGTATGGCTGGCAAAAATTGTGCTAAAGCACTAATGCATGGTAGATATAGTCTAATGCTCATTAATGTCATGTAAAAAGCGTTCATCTGCACTAATGATCAGTAGTGCCAATTATGGCACATTCAGTACCTGTTATTACTGAATTGTGTCCTGGTAGTCTTATGTAGAGTTTAGATTATGGTTTATATGGGATGGTTTGGATAGGGATGATCTTGCCTCAGGTAGGGGGTTGGACTAGATGTGACCTCCTGAGGTCCCTTCAACCCTAATTTTCTTTGATTCTATGATTCTAAGACCAAGGGCTCCTAGTAGAAGGTTATGTGTAAAGTGAGGATGTCAACAATAACTGCAGATCTAATTCTAAGGAAATGTAGAAGGAGCCTAGATTAATGTATGGTAATACCCATACTGATAAAGCTGGAAAAAAGTGAAAGTTATGTGAACTTAGATTCTTGGTAGATTCACCGAGACTTAGACTCAGCTCTGAATCTGTTGGGTAATCAGAGATCTTGCCTGTCCCATTACAGGATCACTGTGTGGGTAGGTACTAGCATAACCAACTACTGGCTGGGGAAAAAGGCTCAAAACTTGCTGACAAAAGAAAATGAATCAGAGGTCTTTGGGAGAGGCAGATTCTATGGAAGTGTCTGCTCAGCAGCTGCAGAGATTGTGTCTGCCCTGCAGACAGAGGTGTACCTGCAGCCAAGGATGGCCTGCCCACCCTAACTTTATTCTAGCTAATTTGAGTGTAATCACACTGAAGTCACAACAATACAGACTTCACGGCAAAACATCTCCCAGATGCTAGCCAATGTTAACCTCATCTGATCTGACAAACCTGAATTTCAGAACACCATACAACACAGCCAATGGCTGAAAGCAATGCTGTCATGTTGGCTTGCATGACATTCATGTGAACATGTGGTCCTATTCATGTGAACTTGTAAGTTCCAGAAATTAGCTAAGTATCATCATGGGAACGTTAAATAAGATTTAACTCAATGCATTCTTGTATTTTCAAAGGGTCACATAAGGTTTAATAAAAAATGTGCGACGAAAATGTTGCAGCTCTATGAAGATGTAAAGGGTAACATCCCAACCATGTTGTCCTCATTTTTAGGTCCAAACTCTTTTAAATGGCCACTAATTTTTACTCCCTTGTTATTTGCAAGCTTCACATAATGAATCGTTTCAGAACTGCTGAGTACATACGCCTCCTGTTCAAACCAAAGGGAATGAAAGTAGTGGTGAATATCAACCCCAAGGTAGCTCAGGCAGACCTTCTAAAAATGAAGGCTCCTCAAAATCACAGCCAGCTAATGACTAAGTGGCAGCAAATTAAACCATTTTACCTCTTGCTTGGCAGATTCATCCTGGAAGCAGGTGTGCTGGAGGTAGTAAGCACCCATGGCTTGATGTTTCTCATCTGAGGAGCACAGGAACTGTATAGCTTTCTGGATGGTCATGGTACCATAGTCTGGCTCATCACTGCATATTCTGAAAGAAAGAAGGGACAGGAACTTATCAGTCAGTGGCAAATGCAACGTAGTTCAGAGGCTACTTAATTCTTTGCACAATGCCATCAAACTCATGCATGCAACATCACCTCTGGTGACCAATATTTGCCAAGACAAAGTTCTTACTTGGATATGACTGTTTAAACAGAGCTAAAAGTTTAGCAAGAAAAGTTATAAAGTAGCTACCATGAATTCATGAACATGGAACCAGAAGTAGGATGTCAAGTCCTTCTCTGGACCTGAGCCAAAGCCTGATTCCAGTTGACCCTGCTGTAAATGAATACCGGGTCGTTTGGTCCGGGAGGCAAAGGCAGCTAGCCACATCACTATCCTGTGTACTGCTGACTATGGAAATTGGGCAGCCCAGTGGGCTGCTAAATTTGGGAAT